CGAAAATTTAAACGGTCCAAAGACCCAGAAGTTAGATATCTCGTAAACTTGTTGGACAACATTATTCTGCTGGTTTTAGATTTCTATCCCGTCATATTTCGTAGTGAAAATTGGATAGCATACAAGGAGGTAATGTTTCATATTTGGGCTATGTTTTATCAATATAAGCGTAAAAATTATAAAAAATTACTATTAGCGTTTTTTAATGATATTTTTTTTTGGTCCAGTACTAATTATCCTATTTCACAAGCTCTTGAAGGTTTTATTCATACTTTTAATGATTATTATGTAGAGAATTTCCACAGCTTACTTCAACGGCAAATTCAGAAATTGAATACTCCAGATCAAATTATTTGACAGGCACGAGTAATAGACCAGATGCGTGACAGAAATTCTTTCACTGATGCCTTTTCTGAGAATCATAATATTAGATATTTGGCAAAACAGCTAGAGTATCTTGAGAAGCGCGTTGCAATTTTTCTGTTGAATTTCTTTACGAACGTCCATCAAAATATTGGCAGATCGAAAGCTATTTCGCATGATACAGATTCGTGGCCAGAAATATATGAGCTTCTAATACTTGAAGCTCAAGTTGATGTTAAAATACTGGTGATAGCTTGGAATACAACATACCTATCTCGAGAGGATAAATATTGTGATTTTGAGGATTGTGTAGATAATCATGAGGTAGGTTATGTTCTAATATATGAGTATGCTTATCACCATGAATGTTTTTTATTTAAATTAGGAAGTCTATGTAAGCATTGTACTGATTATCTTGTAAGCAGTATTGAAGAAAATTGTAAGAGTTATCAGAAAACTCTAAACAAATTTGATCGTATGACTACGGCTACTAATACAAGTAAATCAAATAATACTATGACTATTGATAATACAAATATGGGTGGCGAAAATTTGCCTTTAGAAAGTAATGTAGATATACTTTTCGAAAGGACAATGAGTAATTTAACAAGTATATAAATTGTAATATAAGAGCTGGAACATGTAGCTGTAATTTATTAGTTTAATAGAATATTTATATATATATATTTTTTTGAGTATCCCTGTTGTAATCACAACTAGGGGCGCAGGTAGCGCTCTTTTATTAAAATATTATAAAAGACTTAGTTACTTTTTAGATATTTATATATTAGTTTAAAAGATTTGGATCTAGTGCTAAAGAGGTTGTTTTTTAGAATTCGTATTTTTTTTGAAATATGATTTCTAACAAAGGAGCTTAGGGAGTTAAGAAAGAATAATACGTGAGCATTTGGTATTATAATGTTTGCATCTATACCCCTCTTATTATGAAGACTTTTTTCTCGACAAAATGGAATAGACATCGTTTCTGGCAAAGCTTTTAGAAGTATTGTGGCAAAATAAGCAAAGTCTTGCATAGACGTTGTGTCACTATGGTAATATTCATAACAATTATAAAAATCGTCTATGTTAAGAACAACCAAGTTTTCGATCTATAAAAAGATTGTTATTTTTTGCAATTAAAATTTATTAAAAAAAAAAAAAAAAAACTTATATATTTACATTTTCCAATAAAAATTCGACCACCTTCATCGTATACGTTTTCGCGTGTTGAACCTTATGTCTTCCAATTGTTTTACGTCTTACTGATACACCTGCATTGGCCAAGGTTTCAATTGTTGATGAGGATGTACCCGCTGCATCTAATAAAAATCCAACCTCCGCCTTAACACCATTAATAAATTTATTATTAAGTCCTAATAAGAAATAGCAAAACAAAACCAGCTTTTTCTTATTTTTTTCATTAGTAGCATGGCTTTTTGTTTGCGGGTTAGTTCTAGCTACTAATTGATTAAAAAAACCTTTCAATGACGGTTCAGCTTCCTCAAGCATTTTGGTAAACTCTTCTGGATGAGAATGGGTTTTTCATTATATACACGCTGCCTCATATACAACACTCCTGCCATCAGTTTAATTTTCCGGCTAAGAGGAACTAATTTTAAAAGATAAATAATACAATTAATTAGAAGTTTTTAAGAATTGAATACCAATGGCATCCTGCAGTAAAAAAAAAAAAAAATTTTTATTATTATTTACCCAATTTCAGTTCATTAAGTTCAGCACATACTTCTTGATAAGCAGACTCCAATTTCTGAAATTCTGATTGAGAATAAGTAATATCGTCTCGTAATATTTATGACCTACCTTGAAAATTTCTTACATAATCTCTAGAAATTCTCTCAATTGGTAACAGATAGTCCGGCAAATTTACATATTCTGGATCAGTATCGGTCTTATATAAACAGTGACGACATATTTCAACCTTTGGTGGCAAGCTAAAAAACTTAATAAGCTGTTTTGGAACCTGCTTAAACGTTTTTCCTTCTGTACCTTTCTGAGCTGTAAGAATATACGTCTCATGTTTAGGATGAGAACAAGCTTTAGCTTTTTTCACATTTTTTGCATGTTTTGCATTTACTATTAACTTTTTATAATATTTTCTACATAGCACTTTGTTAACCAAATCCAGGTGTTCACTCGAATCAGGTATAGTTATTTTCTCTGTAACTACATGAACACCATTCAGCTCATAATCACACTCAACATCATCCTTGCTTTCAAAGTCACAGACCCTTAATTTTCTCTTACCTTTATTTTCAACACCAAAAGCTTGAGACTGGTTATTCTCAGTAGATGCCATCATATAATTTCTAAAAAAAA